CTGGTAACGATGAAGCAGCTGAAGTCTCTGTAGTTGAAGAAAATTCTACTAATGAGGGAGAAGATGAAGCAAGTGTATCTGCTAATGAGGAAGTATCTCAGGACAATGCAGTTGAAGTGAACTCTGGTAACGATGAAGTAGCTGAAGCCACAGTAGTTGAAGAAAATTCTGGTAATGATGAAGCAGGTGAAGCCACAGTAGTTGAAGAAAATTCTGGTAATGAGGAAGCAGCTGAAGCCACAGTAGTTGAAGAAAGTTCCGACAATGAGGAAGCAGCTGAAGCCACAGTAGTTGAAGAAAGTTCTGACAATGAGGAAGCGTCAACAAATGATGGCAATGATGAAAATAATGACAATGAACAAGGAGAAGAGCCAGAAGAAACTGTTTCGGAAACTACAACTGTTAGTGCGGATACAACTACGGAACTCCCCACTTGCTCTACACCGGGATTGCAAGCCCATGAAACAGATTGCCGTTTATATTATTCCTGCTCAGCATTGGACTCAGCTGACGGAACTTTGCGCTTACAAACCCTTTCCTGCGGCGAAGATGAAGCTTTCAATGCCGCATGGGGTCGTTGCGCCCGTGACATTGCATCCTGTCCCAATGAGTTCGCTTGTTTGGCTCCTGGTGCCTTCGAAGATCCTCTATCAAATGCTTCATATTATTTGTGCTATAGCCGTCTGACTCTTGACGGCTATCTATTATATCATGTTAAGTGCGGCAGCGGTGAAGTATTTCTACCGGAAATAGGTAAATGTTTCATTGACCTGAGCGATTTCGCTAACGCATATCTCAACTACGATTGGCTTCAAGTGCATGATATTGATGTAGTTAAACTAGAATACGAACAGTACAAAACAGAAGCCAAGTTGCAAATTAAATTGGAAAAGGAAAAGGCCAAAATGGAAAAGAAATTGCAAAAGGAGTTGGAGAAATTGGCCAAGAAAAAAGCCAAAGAGGAAGCAAAAGCCGCTAAAGCAGCTCTTCTTGGTCTTTAAGCAAATAGACGTTTGAAATTTCCTTCATTTTAATGTTCGCCGTACGTAGATAATTGAAATAATAAAAAAAAAAACAAAAAAAAAAATTAAATAAATAAAACAAATTCACTAAATTGAAATCTTTAAAAATAATTCATTTTGTTTGTTCTTAGCATTATGTATATGATTAATATATGACATTTGAGCAAAGCAATGCGTACACAGTGACCGACACGTTGAACACAACATTGTTTTTCTTTTCTAAGCTTTTATTTGAGGGATTGAATCTTTCTTAAATTGTAAGAATTCCCCTTGAAGGCCATTGCCACCGCAAAGATTCTCATACAGGCTGTAGCGGCATCATGTATATACATATATATACATATATATATATATATATATATGATGCTCTGTTCGAAAAGCATTTTCCGAGTTTTCTTTTCAAATGGAATTGGAAGCGCAAGGGTTTATTACTTTAGATATAGATGTATGTGTGTTAATCTTCGTTATGAAGCCACTAATGTATGAAACTTACGTTTCCTTATAGATTTTTTGCAGGGAGCGCCTGTTACCAATGTAAGGGCTCTTTTCTTTTGTTTACTTCGCATATTGTTGAGGTTTGAAGCATAAGTTGTGCCCCCTAACTGTATTCCATACAAACGATGTAATGTTAAAATATTTGAAATTTTATTATATAAGCTCAGAGTCTATGATTCGAGTTCAATAAATTGGTCGATTAAATATCATATTTACCTCATAAATTTCATAAGTTGTATATTGTTTCTTTGGGTGTGTTCCCTATATCTTCTTTTCATATATATCCACCACGAAAGGATGAAAGATATATACATTCTGTCGAAACGTTTGCAGCGCCAAGAAGGATGCTTCAAAGACTCACAAAGTTTATATATTCTTGATCAGTATCAAATTCTGAATCGTTATTAACAATGTTCGTCCGTCCGGTTGTCCGACTGTCTGTCTATGCAATGTCTATTGTAAGTATTCTCCTGATCGCAAAAATGAACTTATCGACATTTGAAGTTCTTGCACGCAAGTCGACGTAAAAGATGGAAAAAAATCGATTAAAAGACATGGCATAGACATAGTACAACGTGATGTGAGGACGCATTTGCTGGAATAA